GTTGCTTTGGGATGGAATGTTCTGAATATGTCTGTGAAGTCCATTTGGTCCAGTGTGTCATTTAAAGTCTTTATTTCCTTGTTGATCTTTTGCTTAGATGATCTGTCCATTTCAGTCAGGGGGGTGTTAAAGTCCCCCACTATTATTGTATTGTTGTCAATGTGTTTCTTTGCTTTTGTTATTAATTGCCTTATATAATTGGCTGCTCCCATGTTCGGGGCATAGATATTTACAATTGTTAGAGCTTCTGGTTGGATAGACCCTTTAAGTAGGATATAGTGTCCTTCCTCATCTCTTATTACAGTCTTTGTTTTAAAATCTAATTTGTCTGATACAAGGATTGCCACCCCAGCTTTCTTTTGGTGTCCATTAGCATGGTAAATGGCTTTTCACCCCTTCACTTTCAATCTGGGGATGTCTTTGGGTCTAAATGAGTCTCTTGCAGACAGCATATTGATGGGTCTTGTTTTTTAATCCAATCTGATAGCCTGTGTCTTTTGATTGGGGCATTTAGCCCATTTACATTCAGGGTAACTATTGAAAGATATGAATTTAGTGCCATTGTATTGCCTGTAAGGTGACTGTTACTGTATATTGTCTGTGTTCCTTTCTCATCTATGCTGCTTTTAGGCTCTCTCTTTGCTTAGAGGACCCCTTTCAATATTTCTTGGAGGGCTGGTTTCGTGTTTGCAAATTCCTGTAGTTTTTGTTTCTCCTGGAAGCTTTTTATCTCTCCATCTATTTTCAATGATAGCCTAGCTGGATATAGTATTCTTGGCTGCATATTTTTCTCGTTTAGTGCTCTGAAGATATCATGCCAGTCCTTTCTGGCCTGCCAGGTCTCTGTGGATAGGTCTGTTGCCAATCTAATGTTTCTACCATTGTAGATTACATATCTCTTCTCCCGAGCTGCTTTCAGGATTTTCTCTTTGTCTCTGAGACTCGTAAGTTGTCCTATTAGATGTCGGAGTGTTGACCTATTTTTATTGATTTTGAGAGGGGTTCTCTGTGCCTCCTAGGTTTTGATGCCTGTTTCCTTCCCCACATTAGGGAAATCCTCTGCTATTATTTGCTCCAATATACCTTCTGCCCCTCTCTCTCTTTCTTCCTCTTCTGGGATCCCAATTATCCTAATGTTGTTTCATCTTATCGTATCACTTATCTCTCCAATTCTGCCCTCATGATCCTGTAGTTGTTTCTCTCTATTTTTCTCAGCCTCTTTATTTTCCATCATTTGGTCTTCTATATCGCTGATTCTCTCTTCTACCTCATTTATCCTAGCAGTTAGTGCCCCCATTTTTTATTGCACTTCATTAATAACCTTTTTGATTTCAACTTGGTTAGAGTTTAGTTCTTTTATTTCTCCAGAAAGCGTTTCTTTAATAACTTCCACGCTTTTTTCAAGCCCAGGCAGTATCTTTAAAGTCATGATTCTGAACTCTAGCTCTGACATCGTACTAATATCCGTATTGAGTAGGTCCCTGGCAGACGGTACTACCTCTTGTTCTTTTTGCTGAGGTGATTTTTTTCATCTTGTCATTTTGTCCAGAGGAGAATAGATGAATGAGAGAACAAAATGCTAACAGGTTAACAACGTCCCCAGCAAATATACTGTATACAAATCAGAAAAGACCTGAAACCAGGGGAAAAGAAAGGGAAAGAAAGAAAAAAGAAAGAGAAAAGAAAGAAAGAAAAGATAAAAACTAAAACAGAACAATACAAAAAAACAGAATATGATCAGATATGATCAGGCTAGTGCATAGATCAGTGCCACACACTAGATTTTGGGCGTATTTTGGTCTGTTAGAAAAAAGTGCCTCCTAAAATTTTAAAGGAAGAAAGACTTATATATGTACAAAATAAGGGTTGATACAATGAAGGGATGGAATATGACTGTAAAGATGAAAAGTATAAAAGATTTTATAAAAGGAATTGATAAAAATTTTTTCAAAAAAAGAAATAAGATTAAAAAAAAGAAAAAAAAAGGGAGAGAATGTGATCAGGCAGGAGACTAGAACAAAGCCATACACTAGTGATTTAGGGTATATTTTGATCTGTTAGAAGAAACTGTATCTCAAATTTTAAAGAGAGAACAACTTATATATATATGCCAAAAAGAAGGGTAACTACTATGAAGGGATAAAATATGACTCCAAAAATGAAAAATAAAAAATGTTTTTTTTTAAAAAGGGATTGATAAGATGTTGGTTGTAAAAGGGAAAAATAAAAATAAAAAAAAACAGTTAAAAAATTAACTTTGAAAAATTAATGAATCATGGTAAAAAAGCCATGAATTCTATGTGCAGTATTCCCCTAGCACTGGAGTTCTCCCTTTCTCCTTGATCGGTAAACTTGGTCTTGGCTTGCTGGCTGTTCGTGCTGATCTTCTGGGGGAGGGGCCTGTTGCCATGGTTCCCAAATGTCTTTGCCGGAGGCGGAGTTGCCCCGCCCTTGCTGGTCTGGGCTAAGCAAGCTGCTCGGGTTTGCTCTCAGGAGCTTTTGTTCCCTGCAAGCTCTTGGCACAGCTTTGGAGGACCAGGGTGAAAATGGTGGCCTCCCAGTCTCCACCCGGAGAAGCTGAGGACTCGGGGCCCCGCTCCTCAGTGTGCTCCCAGAGAAAAGCAGTCACTCCTGTCTCCCCGGTCTCTGGCCGCACTCCGTGCTCACCTGGCCTGTGACCGAGGATTTCTATCTCTGGCACCCGACCCCATGTGGAGTCTCCAAACCCAGCAGATCCCTGCGGTGTTCTCCCGCGCCGCTCCTCCCGGGGGAGGAAGGGGAGTCTCCCTGATCTGCCGCTTGTTGGGTCCCTGCTGGAGGAGCAGGGGCCCGACTGTGCCGTGGATCACGGTTTATGGCAACCCCGAGCTGAGAGCCTGCGCCTCGGCTCCATCTCTACAGCTGGCTTCCCTGCTCCGATACCTGAGAGCTCTGCCACACTCAGGCACCCCCGGTCTTTCTGTGACCCCGAGGGTCCTGAGACCACACTGTCCCGCGAGGATCCCACCCCCTGCTTAGCCACTGGAGCGACGTCCCTCAGCGGAGCCGGCTTCTTAAAGTTCCGATTTTGTGCTCCACGGCTCCACCACTCACCAGAAGCAGCTGATGGAGGTCCCTCCCCCGCCATCTATCCTCCCGAATATCACCTCGGATTCACTTCTCCGCACGTCCTACCTTCCAATAAGTGGTCGCTTCTCTGTTCAGAGAGTTGTTGCTACTCTCTTCTTTGATCTCCTGTTGAGTTCATAGGTGTTCAGAATGGTTTGATCCCTATTCAATTGAATTCCTGAGACCAGACGAAATCCAGGTCTCCTACTCCTCCGCCATCTTGCTCTGCCCTCTACATCATTAGTTTTTGATGTAGTGTTCCATGATTCATTGTTTGCATATAACACCCAGTGGTCCAAGCAGAACATGCCCTCTTTAATACCCATCACCAGGCTAACCCATCCTCCTGCCCCCCTCCCCTCTAGAACGCTCAGTTTGTTTTTCAGAGTCCATAGTCTTTCATGGTTTGTCTCCCCCTCCATTAACCTGTTCTTTTATACCCAAATATTTTTGCCTTAAGAAAATTTCCCTATCCCATGTAATTAGCAAAAATCAAAAGTCTAAAAATACCAAATATTGATGAAAGTATGTCATAATCCAATCCAGTAATTAACAATCCAATTATGTACCTGAGGCCCAATTTTTAATATTATCATAAATGTGCAAGTTTTTATAACATATTATGAAGCTTAGCTTTCCTATGATTTGCAATTAATCTAACCAACATATAACTTATATCTATGTTTGCAGACCTTAAACTAATAATGAAGACATAAAACTTACCATCAATATCAATAGTCTTTAGTGCCTTTTGCATTTCTGAATCACTTATAAAAATCTTCAAGGTATGATGGATCATTGGCAGATCATTCACATAAATCTTACCACTTTGAATTTTGCTGAAAATTTTACAGGCCTTCTGAAGTGCTAAACATACACACCAAAACAGTTAATTCAAATGAATAATTATCCTTATCCCTGATACATCCTCTCTCAAGGAAAAACAACAACAATAATCACTAAAAGAAGAAAGAGGAGCAAACCTTTGTGTTCTAATCCTTTGCTTTAAAATGGATCTTGTGACTTATTTAGGTCCTTCTAGGGTGAATGGCCTCTAAATCTGTTCTAAAGAACTCTCAGAAACTGTTAGAACGTCATGCGAAATTCACATCGTAAAGGCTTCCACAACTTTACCTGGGAGTGTTAAATCCTTCTTCCATGCTCCCATATCACTTGGTATGTATCTCAAAGCTCTGGGTATTGTGACTGTTTGCATGTTAATATTCCTCACTAAACTGTCAGCTTTTAGGGGGCAAGGTTTTTCATTCTTCAAGTGCCTTCTAATTCAGGATAGATCCTCAAAAAACGTCTGCTGAATTGAATTTAGTTCAGTGGATACAACATGTAATTTTCAGAAAAAGAGGTGCTGGATGACAGTGCTAAATACTGGAGAAAGACTAAAATATTGATAATAATGATTTTAATAATAGGAGTTTTTTTTAAAGATTTTATTTATTTATTTATTTGAGAGAGCAAGAATGAGAGAGAGAGAGAGAGCACATGAGAGGGGGGAGGGTGAGAGGGAGAAGTAGACTCCCTGCTGAGCAGGGAGCCCGATGTGGGACTCGATCCCAGGACTCCAGGATCATGACCTGAGCCAAAGGCAGTCACTTAACCAACTGAGCCACCCAGGCGCCCTATAATAGGAGTTTTAACAGAGTATTGGAAATGGAAACCGGTTTCAGTGTAATGGGAAGTAAATAAATAATTAAGGAAAACAACTCTGAAGAAGCTTCTTTGAAAAACAGAGTATAAAATTGACATAGTCCTGGGGCACCTAGGTGGCTCAGTCAGTTAAGTGTCTGACTCTTGGTTTCTGCTCAGTTCATGATCTCAGGGTTGTGAGACATAGCCCTGCATTGGCTCCATGCTCAGCAGGGAGTCTGCTTGAGATTCTCTCTCTCCCTTTCTCTTTGTCCCTCCCCCTGCTCTCTCTCTCTCTCAAATAAATAAATATATCTTTAAAAAATTTTACATAGTCCCTGAGGAAGTAGAAGAAAACTGAATGAAAGAAAATCAAGAGTGAAGGGATTAGTCTCATGAAAGGGCATTTTCTCCAATGAGACAAAAGGGAAGGCCATGGATGTTGTTTACAATCCTAAGAGTTCTCCCCACAATGAAGTGTTTTCTTTTTTTTCTGTAACTACATGAGATGACGGATATTAACTAAACTTATTGTGGTAATCATTTCACAATGTATGTAAGTCAGGTCATTATGCTGCACATCTTAAACGTATACAGTGCTACATCTTAATTATATCCCAATAAAACTGGGGGATAAAAGATGCCTAGTATAAGGGTGCCTGGCTGGCTGTTACTAAAGCATGCAACTCTTGATCTTGAGGTTGTGGGTTTGAGCCCCAAATTGGGCATAGAGATTACTTAAAAAAAAATGTCTAATATGATGACCAGAGTTAAGGTAAGAGGAAAAATATGCCAAATGACTCTATAAATATAGAGGAGAGGCCCGAGATATGGGAGAACTTAGTGTCAAGAAGTGAAGGGTACTATGATTCTTAATATTAAGATACCAAGAACTAAATCCCAGTAAAATCAGTGACTCCAGTGCTTACTAATGTATTCATTGGATGTAATATCCAGATTTTTTCCCAAAAAATTTGAACTAGAATAAGCACATATGTTATTATTTTGCCTATATCATCAATACAACAGAAGATATTCATAAATACTTAGTTTAGTTTACTTATGCCTTGCTCACAGCATTTGCCATATCATGTAATATTAGTTGATATCATATGCCATTAGGAGTAAATAGATACTAACCACTGAAACAATTCCTAATAAAGCACACAATCAGGAAATTAATTCAAGAAATTCTAGAACCTATTATTACCACTTAATTCTTGTGAGTGTAAGTCTCCTTGAGGTACTTCGTTATATAATGTCTTGTAGAGGCTAGAAATCATTTCCCTTTTCCTGTCAAAGAAACAGTCACATTAGAAAGCAGCACAAAAACAAAACACCACACACACACACACACACACACACAAAATATGCCATTTTTCCATTAAAATATTAACAAACCTATCCACTACATCAAAAACTAATGATGTATTGTATGGTGACTAACATAACATAATTAAATTAAATTAAAGAAACAAAAACAAAAACAAAAAACAAACCTATCAATGGATTGAGATTCTCCAGTGTCTTACTCCACAAAAACCTTTCTTAAAGAACTGTCCAAGTGATAGTGAATTATATATTCTTCACTCCAGAATTCCCACCTTGCTTCTGACTGCTCTATGGAGCAGAATTTATCCTAGTAAATTCTGTAAACAGTAAGTAAGTAGTGCCCATGACCCACAATCCTTTGGCTGTGGTCCAATTATTGCTACTTTTAATTCAAGTCACAGCAAATTTTCAGAAAGTTATTATAGGAAGGAAAAACAAGAATATCTTTAAACAGCAAAGAATCCCAGATTCCACAACCTGTCAGTAGAAACAATTTGGAAAGATGATTTATCTAAACCCATAACACATAAATAACTGAAATCATAAAATGTTAGTGTTAGAAGAAATCTCAAGAGTCCATCTAGTACAAGATTCTTGTACAGATGTGGAGACTGAGGCCCAGAGATATGAAGTGAATTGTACAAGAGCCTAAGCTAGCATGTGAGGTCAATCAGTACTCAATTCTAAGTCTTTCATTTCCATATACAGTGGGCTCAGCTCTACACCATCCTTCCTAAGAGCAGAGTCTTACTTTGCACAAACTACTTTGCATACTTTATGTGGAAAGGATAGATGATTCCAAAAAGAAAAACCCCAAGTCTGAATGCAACATTTAGGGTAAAAAATATGATGACTTAAATACCGAATAATTGAGGAAGATGTACAAAAGGGTGATAAAGTCTTATGAACACTGTACTGATTCGGCAACTTGAATAAAGAGTTTTCTTCCCTAGTCATCTTTTCCTTCGACAGCTTCACTGAGGAAGAGGCAATCTAGAACCAAATACAAGAATGTTGGTGACTGAGATCACATTGGTAAACCAGCATTATTGGACAATAAACCTGTTATAAGAGAGGCTCCTCATATCATATCTAGGCTCCTCACTGATGTAAAATTGCTTTTCGTAAGGAAATTAGTTTACATATACTAAAATTTGAAATAAACTATACAATATTTTTTTGCAAAGCCACATTTTTCTAAATATGCAACTAAATCATCTCCTAATATTAATATTGTGTCAATTTATAATAATGGATTTTACAAAGCAGGGCAAATCTATGGTACAGTGAAGACAAGATCACCAGATTCTATGCTACATATATAGGCTTTGACTATATGAGCAAAATAATGTAAAGAAGCAAACAGTTATTCAAATAACACAGGTAGTGGGACACCTGGGTGGCTCAGTCAGTTAAGTGGCTGCCTTCAGCTCAGGTCACGATCCCAGGGGTCTTGGGATTAAGTCCTGCATCGGGCTCCCTGCTCAGCAGGAAGCCTGCTTCTCCCTCTGTCTGACGCTCCCCCTGCTTCTGCTCTCTCTCTCACACACAAATAAGTAAACAAAAATCTTAAAAGAAAAATAACACAGGTAGTTATGTTTTAAATTATCCTTATCATTGAGAAAATGATCCACTTGACATGTATATATAAACATGATTCAAAAGTGGCAAGTAGCTAGGTAGACAGAAAAGCGTCACTTTAGAAAATGAGGACTAGGGGGCACCTGGGTGGCTCAGTCGTTAAGCATCTGCCTTCAGCTTGGGTCCTGATCCCAGGGTCCCGGGATCGAGCCCCGCATCGAGCCCCACGTGGAGCCCCACATCGAGCCCCGCATCGGGCTCTCTGTTCTGCAGGAAGCCTGCTTCTCCCTCTCCCACTCCCCCTGCTTGTGTTCCCTCTCTCGCTGTCTCTCTCTCTCTGTCAAATAAACAAACAAAATCTTAAAAAAAAAAAAAAGAAAGACAAGAAAATGAGGACTATAATATTAGGTGTCTTCAATTTTACATGGAATCTAGAGCCTTGTCTTTTAAAGACCATGCAGGATGTAGAAAGAAGACTCTGAAGCCATACAAGATTGGTAAGAATTGGTACTGAGATCCCACATAGAGCCAAAATTTTCAAAAGGCAATGTTACCAGCAAGAATAGGCTAGGGGAAAAGAAAAAAAAAAAAAAAAAAAGCAAAAATAAATAAATAAATAAACAAACAAACAAAAAAAAAAACCAAAACAATTTATCCCCCAATAGAAGAAGTATGCAGAGTAAAATATGTCTTTGTCTCAGCTCTTGGCTGGAAAAAAGAAAGAGAGAGAGAGAGAGAGAAGAGAGAGTGCTCCTCTTGATTATAGTTATAGCTCCACCCACAAATAAGTGTAGAACTCAAATCTATACTTAATACATCGACTAGGAAAATAGAAACCAAAAAATTCATTTAAAGTGGTCCCATGTTTGTAACAGCTCTGAAGTGCAGAGCAGAAGCGAATTCAAATTCTCCTGGAGGAGGGTACTCTAAATCCAGAGTCATCATGAGATTCCCACAGATTTAGATCAAATATATAGTTTGATATATAGGATATAAGGATATAAGTTAGTGAGTGAGAATCAGACAAAGCAATAAACAGATTTAGATCCCCAAGGACTTTATATTAGGTTTATCAGATACCAATCTTGAAACATCTATGGGACATGAGCAAAGAACATGACAGAAGGCAGATTATAAGAAAAACCAAATGAAATGTCTAGAAGTAAAAAATATAAGCACTGAAATTAAAATCTCAATAGACAGGTTAAACTGCAGATTAGATTAAGCTAGAGAAAGAAAAACTAGAAACAGATGGGAGAAATTATCCAGACAAAAGAGAGTGCATCTAAATACATCATATAGTGAATGTAGTAGGTTGGATGGCAGCTGCACAAAAAGATATGTCCATATCCTAATTCTTGGAACCTACATATGTGACTTTATTTGGTAAAAGGTCTTTGCAGATGGAACAAAGTCAAGGATCTCAAGATGAGATCTACAATGATGTGCTTATAGAAGTAGGAGGAGACCTGAGATACAAACACAGTTAAGAAGACCATATATACAGAGCAAGATGGAGGCCAAGACTGAATTTATGCTGCCACAGCCAAGGAATGCCTAGGGTCATTGTTATAAGAGCAGAAGTATTAACAGAGAGCACGGTAATAAAAATAAAGATCTAGTGGAGGAAAAGGGGGAAAATGTCATATTCTTCCAAAAGGGTTCCTTGTTATATTAAAAAAAAAAAAAAGGAAAGGAAGAAGAAGAAAAGGAGGAAAGGGGGAGGAGGGGAGAGGGAAGAAGAGGAAGAAGAAATATTTAAGACTGTGACATTTCAATACTTGAACTAAAATGTGATGGAATGTTTGAAAGCTAAAAACAACACTCAAAAGTAAAATATTTCCAGATCATTATTTACCTCAGTTCTTTTAGTATGCAATTGTCCTTGTAAACTTTTCTTTCTCTTGAGCTTTTTTTCTCCTGAAAAATTAGAGGATTTTTCTTCTCCACATAGGAATATTGTTGTTTCATTCCTAAATTGCACAGAAAATTGGAATAATTCTTGAATTGCTTTTTTTCTTACTTTTTGTTTTTTCATCTTTTATTTGCAGAATTTTCAAACATATACAAAAGTAGAGTAATTGGTGATCTTCCCATGTACCCATCTCCCAGCTTCAATAATGGGCAATCCTATTTCATCCGTATCCCTATCCCTACTTCCATTTCTTATTATTTTGAAGGAAATTCCAATGTTATATTATTTCATGTGTAAAGATTTTAGTATGAATTTCTACAAGGTGTTTTTTCTTTTAAAAATATATCTGAAACACAATTATGAGATCCAAAATATTAACAATAATTTCTTAATATTATCAAACATAGTCAGTGTTCAAATTTCCAACTGTTTTATAAATGTCAACATTTTTTAACTTTGCATCAGGTTTCAATAAGGTCCCCATTACAGTTTGATGTGTCTTTTTTTTTTTTTAAGATTTTATTTATGTGACACAGAGAGAGAGACAGAGAGAGAGGGAACACAAGCAGGGGGAGTGGGAGAGAGAGAAGCAGGCTTCCCGCCGAGCAGGGAGCCCGATGCGGGGCTCGATCCCAGGACCCTGGGATCATGACCTGAGCCGAAGGCAGACGCTTAACTGACTGAACCACCCAGGCGCCCCTGTTGATGTGTCTTTTAAATCTCCATTTATCTATAGGTTCGCCTACCATGCCTTTTATCATCATCATCAGCAGCAGCAGCAGCAGCAGCAGCATTCCAAGGCAATTTGTCTCATAGATTTTCCAGTCTGGATTTTGCTAATTGTATTACCATGGTTGTAGGATTTTTTCCAAGATTTTATTTATTTAGTTTTCAGAGAGAGAGAGAGAGAGAGAGAACACAGGCAGGGGAAGCGGCAGGCAGAGGGAGAAGCAGGCTCCCCATTGAGGAAGGAGACCCGTGTGGGATCATGACCAGAGCCAAAGGCAGATGCTTAACTGACTAAGCCACTCAGGCATCCCTGGTTGTAGGATTTTAAAGACTTAATTGGATTAACATTTTTTGTTTGTTTTTTTTTCGGCAAAACCACTATATAGATGACGGTGCTTTCCACAGGGAGGCATATAATGTACAATTAGTTCTCTAATTGTGGTATTAGCTGCTATATTTATACATAATAACTAGACTCAGCAAATCATCAGGGACTATAAAATATTTATACCTAAATCTATCATTCCTTCTTCACTCATTAGCTAGAATATTTCTTTAAAGAAAAACTTCCTCTTGGGAACTATTTGGTTAGTCAGTGGTATAGTTCATACAGAAAGGCAGGATAATTAATTTATACTTTTCCTTTATTTACCACTTTTCATAATACTGACTTGGCTCACTTGTAACCTCCAATAGTGACAAAATAATTTTTATATCATTTTGTACACTTGGATTTATATACATTAAATTCATCTTACTTCCTTGTAATTATTATCCTTGATAACCCAATTATCACATGTATAGGGGGAGTCTCTTCAAGTAGGCTCTTGAGTCCTTTTGATGCATCCCTGGTAGGAGTCTTTGTTAGTTTCCTTATTTCTGTAACACCAGATGCTCCAGGCTCAACTATACATTTTCTTTCCCAGACCTTCACTTCCTCGAGGGCATTGTGTGTCTCCAGGTGTTAACCTATTTTATACAATGCTAACGAAAGAAAGTAAAGGAACACTTATACCATCTCCCATTCCTTCCTTGCCTCTGTCATCTAACACAAAGAAATAGTGAGAATCCCCATGAGACTATCAGCAGATTTGTCAGCAGAAATCCTGAAGGCCGGAAGAGAGTGGTATGACATATTCAAAGTGCTAGGGAGGGGCACCTGAGTGGCTCAGTCGTTAGGCGTCTGCCTTCGGCTCAGGTCATGATCCCGGGGTCCTGGGATCAAGCCCTGCATTGGGCACCCTGCTCAGTAGGAAGCCTACCTCTCCCTCTCCCACTCCCCCTGCTTGTGTTCCTTCTCTCGCTGTCTCTCTCTCTCTGTCAAATAAATAAATAAAATCTTAAAAAAAAAAAAGTGCTAGGGGGAAAAAAACTGCCAACCAAGAATACTCTACCCCACAAAGTTGTCCTTCAGGAAGGACAAAGAGTTTTACAGACAAGAAAAAGAGGTGAAAGGAGTTCCTCACACTAGATTGGCCTTACAAGAAATGTTAATGGGAGTTCAAGCTAAAATGAAAGGATGCTAATTAGTAACATGAAAACAAATGAAAGTATAAATCTCACTGACAGAGGTAAATATATACTTAAATTCAGGATACTCTAGTATAGTAATGGTGGTAGGTAAATCATATAGAACTCTCATATAAAGGTTAAAAGACAAAAGTATTAAAAATAACTATAACCAGCCAAACTATGGAAAGATCCAAGCTGTCCAATCAACAGATGAATGGATAAAGAAGATGTGATATATATATACAATGAAATATATGCAGCCATCAAAAAAGAGAAATCTTGCCATTTGCAACAACATGGATGGAACTAGAGGGTATTATGCTAAGTGAAATAAGTCAATCAGAGAAAGACAATTATCATATGATCTCACTGATATGAGGAATTTGAGAAACAAGACAGAGGATCATAGGGGAAGGGAGGGAAAAATGAAACAAGATGAAACCAGAGAAGGAGACAAACCATAAGAGGCTCTTAATCTCAGGAAACAAACTGAGGGTTGCTGGAGTGGAGGAGGGTGAAAGGGATGGGGTGGCTGGGTAATGGACATTGGGGAGGGTATGTACTATTGTGAGCACTGTGAATTGTGTAAGACTGATGAATCACAGACCTGTACCCCTGAAACAAATAATATATTTATATGTTAATAAAAAATTAAAAATTTTTTAAAAGCACTAAAAAAAAATAACTATAACCACAATAATCTGTTAATGGATACACAATATAAAAAGATGTAAATTGTGACATCAAAAACAAAATGAGAGGGAGGTGTAAACATGTTGAATTTTTATAAACCTTTGAATTTAAGTTGTTATCAGCTTAAAATAGACTTATGTTTTATATAAGCCTTATGGTAACCACAAAGCAAAAACCTACAGTAAATACTCAAAAGATTAAAAAAAAAAAGGAATCAAAGTATATCACCAGAGGGGCACCTGGCTGGCTCAGTTGGTAGAGCATGTGTTTTTTGATATCAGGGTTGTAAGTTCAAGGCCCACATTGGGTGCAGAGATTACTTAAAAATAAAAATTAAAAAATTTTAAGTATATCAATAGAGAAAATCATCAAATCACAAATAGAGAGAGTAAGAGAAAGGAACAAAGAAACTATAAAACAGCCAGAAAACAATCAAAATGACAGTAGTAAGTCCATACCTATCAATAAATACCTTAAATATAAATGGACTAAATTCTCCAATCAAAAGACATGGAGTGACTGAATATATTAAATGGAAAAAAAAAAAAAAGACCCAAATATATGCTGCCTCCAAGAGGATCACTTCAGCTTTAAGGCCAAGTATAGAATGAAAGTGAAGGGATAGAAAAAAATATTCCATGTAAATGGAAACCAAAAGAGGGCAGGGGTAGCTATATTTATATTAGACAAAATAAATTTCAATACTTTTTTTATTAAAAGATTTTATTTATTTGAGAGAGAGAGATACTGAAAGACAGCATGAGTGGGGAGGAGAGGGAGAAGCAGGTTCCCCACCAAGCAGGGAGCCCGACATGGGGCTGGATCCCAGGACCCTGGGATAATGACCTGAGCCAAAGGCAGATGCTTAATCAACTGAGCCACTCAGGCGCCCCTTCAGTACATGTTTTTAAGCCAAAAATTGTAACAAGAGACAAACAAGAGTCATTACATAATGATAAAGGGATGAGTTAATCAAAAGTATATAGCAATTGTAATATTTATGCATCCAACATACGAGCACCTAAATATATAAAACAAATAATAATAGATCTGAAGAGAGAAATAGACAGCAATGTAGCAATAGTAAGAGACATTTCAATACCCCACTTTCAACAATGGATAGATAAACTAGACAGAAAGACAAAGGGAAACATTGGATTCCAACTACACCATCAACCAGATGGACCTATAGAGACCGACATATAGAGAACATTCTAACCAACAGCAGCAGAATACACATTCTTCTCAAGCATATATGCAACATTCTCTAGGATAGATCATCACAAAACAAGTCTTTAAAACCTTAAGAAGACTGAAATCATATCAAGCATCTTTTCTGACCACAAAGGTATAAAACAAGAAGTTAATTACAAGAAAAAAACTGGAAAAATCACATATGTAGAGATTAAACAGCATGTTCCTGAACAACCAATGGGTCAAGGAGAAAATCAAAAGAGAAATAAAAAACATCTGGAGACAAAGTAAATGAAAACACAACATACCAAAACTTATTGGATGCAGCAAAAACTGTTCTAAGAGAAACATTTATAGAGATAAATGCCTATATAAGGAAAAAAGAAAGATCTCGAATAAACAGCCTAATTTTATACCTCAAGGAATTGGAAGAAAGAAAAAGAATTAAGCCCAGAGTTAACAGAAGAAAGGAAATAACAAAGATTAGAGCAGAAGCAAGTGAAACATAGACTAAAAAGACAGTAGAAAAGATCAAAGAAGCTAAGAGCTTGTTTTTTGAAAAGATAACCAAAATTAACAAATCTTACTAGACTAAGAAAAAAAGAGAAGACTCAAATAAATAAAATAAGAAATAAAGAGGAGACATTCAATTGATAACAGAACTACTAAAGAGCATAAGAAACTATGAATAATTATACGCCAACAAATTAGATAAAGAAGAAATATATAAATTTCTAAATTTCTAGAAATATATAAGACTGAATCATGAAGAAATAGAAAATCTGAAAAGACTAATTATTAGTAAAGAGATTGAATCAGTAATCAGAAACCTCCCAACAAAGAAGTCCAGGATGGCTTCACTGGTGAATTCTACTAAATATTTAAAGAATTAATGCCAAATCTTCTCAAACTCTTCCCAAAATCTGAAGAGGAGAGAACACTTCCAAACTCATTTTATGAGGCCAGCATTAGCCTCAGCATAGCAAAGCGAGACCAGGACACTACAAGAAAAGAAAACTACAGCCCACTATCCCTGATAAACATAGATGCAAAAATTCTCAACAAAATATTGGCAAACCAGTACATTAATGACCTAGTGGGATTTATTTCTGGGATGCAAATATGGTTCAACATAGGCCAATCAGTAAATGTGATACACCACAATATAGGGAAAAACCCATTCCTCTGTGTTTCTCCTTTACTCTCACACTATTACCATTCTCACAACACTTCTGACACCAGATATGTGAGGTTCCCCCCCCCCCCCCCATGAAGCCATTCTCTGCCACACTAGCTAGGTGTCCTACAAATTAACTCCATTCTGACACTATCTACCTGAATATACTGTCAGATTCCACTGGTTAAGGGCTCAGTCCCACAAGACTGCCCCCAACCCACTTGTGCCAATCACAACTCCAGGTTGTACCTATGATTCTGACTGATCAGCTATAAATCAGAGGTTCCTACAAGCCCCTCCTTGGATTTGATTAATTTGCCAGAAGAGCTCACAGAACTCAGAAAAATAGTTACTTATGTTTACCAATTTATTTTAAAAATATCATAGAAGATACAGATAAACCCAAATGAAGAGATACATAGGGCAAAGTCTGGGAGGATCTCAGCATAAGAGCTTCTGTTCTTATGGAGTTAGAGTGTATCACCCTCCTGGTATGTGGATGTTTACACCAACCAGGAAGATCTCTGAACCCCATACTACTGAGATTTTTATGGAGGCTTCCTCATGAAGGCACGATCAATTATTAATTCCATTTCCAGCCCTTCTCCCCTCTCTGGAGAGATTCTAGATTGGTGAACACATCCACAAACTGGGAGGGTGACACACCCCAACTCCATGAGGACAGAAGCTCTTATGCTTGGGACCCTCCCAAATCTCACCTTGTGTATATCTTCATCTGGTTATTCATCTGTATACTCTGTCCTAATCTTTAATAAACTGGTAAACATGAGTGTTTCCCTGAGTTCTGTGAGATGTTCTAGCAATTAATTAAACCCAAGGAGGGGTCATGGGAACCTCTGATTTGTATCTAAATCAAACAGAAGTTGTGGAGAACCTGAGAACTTACTACTTGAGATTGGTAATATAAAGGTGGGGTTGGGGACAGTCTCATGGGACTGAGCCATTAACCTGTGGGATCTGATGCTATCTCTAGGTAGAAAGCATTAGAATTGAGTTAAATTGTAGGACATCCAACTGGTGTCACAGAATGGCTTGGTGTGGGAAAAACCCACACATTTGGTGTTAGAAGTGTTATGAATATGGTTGTAGTATGATAGTAAAGGAGAAACATAGGAGAACTGAGGTTTTTCTAAACATAACCACATTAACAAAATGAAGGATAAAAATAATATGATCATCTCAAAAGATGCAGAAAAAAATATTAGATAAAATTCCATGTTCTAAACTGAGGGTTGCTGGAGTGGTCAGGGGTGGGAGGGATGGGGTGGCTGGGTGATGGACATTGGGGAAGATATGTGCTACGGTGAGCGCTGTGAATTGTGCAAGACTGTTGAATCACAGATCTGTACTTCTGAAACAAATAATGCAACATATGTTAAGAAAAAAGGAAAAGAAGAAGATAGCAGGAGAGGAAGAATGAAGGGGAGTAAGTCAGAGGGGGAGACGAACCAGGAGAGATGATGGACTCTGAAAAACAAACTGAGGTTTCTGGAGAGGAGGAGGGTGGGGGGATGGGTTAGCCTGGTGATGGGTATTGAGGAGGGCACGTTCTGCATGGAGCACTGGGTGTTATGAACAAACAATGAATCATGGAAGAATACACCAAAACAAATTATGTAATATATGGTGATTAACATAACAATAAAAAAATTAAAAATATATATATATAAAAATTCCATGTTCTTTCATGATAAGAGATCTCAGCAAAGTGGGTGTAGAAGGAATATACATCAACACAATAAAGGATATATATGACAAGCCAGAGCTAACATCATACTAAACAGTCAAAAACTGAAAGCTTTCCCTCTAAGGTCAGGAACAAGAGAACAGTGCCCACTCTCACCACTTTTGTTCAAAATAGTATTGAAATTCTAACCAGAGCAATTAGGCAAGAAAAATAAATAAAAGGAATTCAAATGGAAAGGAAGAAGTAAAACTGTTTCCAAATGGTATGATCTTTTATACAGAAAACCCTAAAGACTATCAAAAACTGTTAGAACTAATAAATAAATACAGTAAAGTTGCAGATACAAAATCAATATACAAAATCAGTTGCAGAAATTTCTATAAACTAACAACAAACCATCAGAAAGAGAAATTAAGAAAAAAATCCTGTTTACATTAGCATCAAAAAATAAAATATTTAGGAATAGATTTAACCAAGGAGGTGAAAGATCTGTACGCTGAAAACCATAAAACATTAATTAAAAAAAAACTGAATAAGACATAAATAAGTGGCAGGATATTCTGTGTTTGTGGATTGGAAGAATTAATATTGTTTAAATGTCCATACTATCCAAAGTGATCTACAGAATCAATGCAATTCCTATCCAAATTCCAGTGGCATTTTTCACAGAAATAGAAAAAATAATCTTAAACTTTGTATAGAACAACAGAAGACCTCAAAGAGCCAAAGCAATCTTGAGAAAGAAAGAGTAACACTTCTAGAACATAGGCAGTAAGCTCTTTGACATTGGTCTTGGCAATAATTTTTTGGATTTGATACCAAAAGCAAAAGCAACAAAAGCAAAAATAAACAAATGGGACTACATCAAACTAAAAAAGTTTCTGCCCAGCAAAGGAAACCATCAGCAAAATGAAAAGGCAACCTATGGAATGGGAGAAAATATTTGCAAAACTATATATCTAATTAGTGTTCAAAATATACAAGGAATTCATGCAACTCAATAGCAAATAAACAAATAATCCACTTTAAAAAGGACTTGACTAGACACTTTTCCAAAAAAGATATACAAATGGCCAACGGGTACATGAAAAGGTATTCAACATCACTCCTTATCAAGGAAATGCAAATCAAAACCACAATGAGATATCACTTCACACCTTTTAGATTGGCTATTTTCAAAAGACAAGAAACAAGTATTGGCAAAAATATGGAGAAAAGAAAGTACTTGTTTACTGCTGGTGGGAATGTAAATTGGTGCAGCAACTATGGAAAATTGTTGAGTTTCCTCAAAAAATTTAAAATATAACTACCATATGATCCAGCAATTCCACTTCTGGGTATATATCCAAAGGCAATGAAAACAGGATCTCAAAGAGATATCTGTACCCCCATGTTCATTGCAGCATTATTGATAATAGCCAAAATATGGAAACAATCTAAATGTCCATCAACAGATAAATGGTTAAAGATGTGATATCACACACACACACACACACACACACACACACACACACACACACACACACACACACACACTGGAATCTATCCAGCCATGAGAAAGAAGGAAATCCTGCCATTTGTGACAACATGGATGGACCTTGAGGGTATTATGTGAAGTAAAATAAGTCAGACAGAGAAAGGCAAATACTGGATGATCTCACTTATATGTGGAATCTATTAAAAGCCAAATTCAGGAGCACTTGGGTGGCTCAGTCAGTTAAGCAACTGCCTTCAGCTCACGTCATGATCCCAAGGTCCTGGGATCAAGTCCAGGTATCAGAGTCCCACATCTGGCTCCCTACTCAGCAGGGAGCCTGCTTCTCCCTCTCTTGCTGGCCTTTCCCCTGGTTTGTGTTCTCTCCCTCATGCTCTTTCTCTCAAATGAATAAATAAAATCTTTTTTTAAAAAAGCCAAATTCATAGAAACAGAGTAGAATGGTGGTTTCCAGGGGCTGGGGGTACGTAAGTAAGAATGGGGGGGCGCCTGGGTGGCTCAGATGGTTAAGCGTCTGCCTTCAGTTCAGCTCATGATCTCCAGGTCCTGGGATGGAGCCACATGTCAGACGCCCTGCTTAGCAGGGAGTCTGCTTCTCCCTCTTTCTCTGCCTCTCCTCACTCCTCCTGCTCTCTCTCTGTATCTCTCTGTCTCAAATGAATAAATAAAAAATTCTTTAAAAAAAAAAGAATAGGGAGAGGCTGGTAAAAGGGTACATACCTTCAGCTAAAAGATAAATAAGGTTTGTGAGTCTAATGTATAACATGATGACTATAGTTGATAATATTGTATTGTATAATTGAAATTTACTAAGAGAATAGAACTTAAATGTTCTCACCAAAAGTAAATAAGTAAATAAGGTAATATGTGAAATAAGTAAAACGTGGTAATCATTTCCCAATGCAAACATATGTTAAATCGTCATATTGTACATTAAATATATTACTTTATGTGTCAAAAAAAGACAAACTTACAGACATATGGATAATTGCTCTTCTATAACTGGAAATCTATGATGGCTCATAGGCTTCCACAAAGTTGTGAAAGAAGTGAGAAAAAAATGAAAAGAATGGCTATCTAGGAATTAAAACTACACTCCTGAAAGAATGGCCACCAATATTCACGATCCTCTATCTTTTAGCAGAGAACTTATGAGCTACGTTTTTGGTTCTCTCAAACTTACAGAAGTATAATTCAACTAAATAAGTTCAAAGTTTAACTTACATTTTTTTGTGTTCTAGTCTCAAACCCCTAATTTCATGTGACATTCTCTTCTGCGTTGTTTTAGAAAACTTGACACCTTTCTTGTTGTCAGTATGTCTTGACGGCAAGTTGGCTGCAAATGAATTACAGCCATTATGTGATAAATTGATATTTTCTTCTGCCTGGGGAGCAACCAAGATCCATAGTCAACTATGTTCTCTTTGCACATATAAATTAAATATGACATTCTGGGTCAAATCATTCATTGTAGATTAATATTTTCTCTAAAATGATGCTACCAAACAATTTTGTTGTAAAGGACTTAATTATTAGTGCATTAGTTCGGATTAGGTACATATTCTAAATGCCACCAACTATCTTCAGTACATTATACAGCTATAAAATGCCCAGCATTCATGAATGTATCTAACAATTGTTGGATCTAGTTCTTAAAGCATCTTTAAGCTTACTTCATTAAATGAAAGACTTCTGCTCTGCGAAAGACACTCTGAAGAGGATGAGAGGACAAGCCATAGACAGAGAGTAAATATTTACAAAAGACATATCTGATAATGGGCTATATTTTTTTTGTATATTCAAAAAATATACAAAGAACTCTTAATGATAACAAAAAGCACAACCCAACTTAAAAATAGGCAAAAGATCTGAGGCGCCTGGATGGTTCAGTCGGCTATGCATCTGACTCTTGGTTTCAGCTCAGGTCATGATCTTGAGGTCATGAGATTGAGCCCCATGACAGACTCCATCCTGGACATGGAGCCTGCTTGGGATTCTCTCTCCATCTCCTTCTGCCCCTGTCCCCACTTGCACATTGGTCTCTCTCAAAAAAAAAAAAAAAAAAAGCAAAAGATCTTAATAGACACCTTACCAAAGATGTACAGATGGCAAACAAGCACATGAAGAGGTGCTCAACATCATGTCATTAGGGAATTACAAATTAAAATATCAAGATACCACTATACATCTATTAGAATGGCCCAAATCCAAAATACTGACAAAACCAAATGCTGGCAAGGATGTGGAACAAGAGGAACTCTCAGCCATTGCTGGTGGGAATGCAAAATGGTACAGCCACTTAGAAAGACAGTTTGATAGTCTCTAAAAAACTAAACATACTCTTAGCATATGTTACAACAATTGCACTTATTGGTATTTACCCAAAGGAGTTGAAAACCTATATGTACACAAAAATCTGCACACAGATGTTTATAGCAGCTTTATTCATAATTGCCAAAACTTGGAAAAAAACAAAATGTCCTTCAGTGGATGAATGGATAAATGAACTGTGGTACATCTAGGAAATGGAACACTATTTGGCACTAAAAAGAAATGAGCTATAGAGCCATGAAAAGACGTGGAGGAACCTTAAATGCATATCACTAAGTGAAAGGAGCCTAACTTTCACAACAAGAAAGTAAAGGCTGTATGCTCTATGATTCCAACTATATGACATTCTGAAAAGGCAAAACTATGGAGACTAAAAGGACCAGTGGTTGCCTATGGGGGGGGGGGGCAGGTGGCGGGAGTTGAATAAGCAGAGCACAGAAGATACATAGGGCAATGAAACTCTTCTATATATTATAATAATGGCAACATGTAATTATACATTTGTCCAAACTCATAAAATGTACAATACTGAGTCAATCCCAATGTAAACTATGGACTTTGGGTGACAATGATGTACCAGTGTAGGTTCATTGTAACAAATGTACCACTGTGGTGTAGGATATTGATACTGGAGGAGGCTACACGTGCATAGGGGCAGGGGGTGTATGGGAACTCTCCACTCAGTTTTGTTGTGAATCTAAAACAGCTCTAAAAAATAAAATCTATTGAGGAAAAAAAAAAAAAAGAAGCAGCTATATTACTTCTAAATAGACAGCCCTCCCCCCCAACAAAAAAGGAACTAGAGCCTAGAAGCAATGAACATGTTTAGAATTGAAATTTGGCTGTTTGCTTAAAACAACTGGAATACATCTGCTTAATCAAAGGTATATTAGTTTTTAACCCTGAACAAATTACACAGGCAATTTATAAAGCAGGTCACCAAGGGAGTTTATAGAACCTCTATTTCTACATAAAATGAAAATTAAGGGAACTATTTCAGTGACTTTTAGGGTCTGCATACATGTGTCTTACAACAGAGGCACACCTTTAACAAGTTGCTTCAAAAAGGCAATTGGATTTGCTGCCTTAACAAGGTGTTTATTAGGAATGATGAAAAGTTTCCTAGAGACATCGAGAAAAATGACTCAAAATGGAAACCAGGAAAATAAAAAGAGGAAGATCTAAAAACTGGCACAAAAACCTGTTATCAAAGACCAGATGAACAGAAGCAGTCAAATAGTGAACAGAAACTTTGATACAGAAAATGAAACAACCTCTGAAACTCTATGTTAAAGATGTAGGAAGTATAAACTATATAGCCTAAGGAAGACAAACGGGTATAATATGTTAATATTGTTAATTCTTTTAAGAATTCATCTTCAAAATCAGATTATGAGGGCACAATCAACAAAGCATTAGGTATAAAAAGGTGGAACAGGTTAATATATATATCATACACCTCGGTAATTAGCAAGAAGCCTTGAATTTTTTTTTATTTTTTCTTTTTTTTTTGGATTATAGTATAGATACATGTCTTACCTGGTGGCACCAGATCCATTAAAAGTGTAAATTTAAAAGGTTAAGACTCTCAGTTGACAATGTTGAGTTCTACCTGAGCCCTGTGCTTCCAGAAAACCATGAAGATTAAAGGAATCCCCTCACCCTTTTGTGTTCTGGAAAATGGCTTACTGCAAAGAACCACCCTTCCCCATACACTTTAGATAAAACTCACAGATGCCCTCCTTGTTTACCTATGACAAGGCCAAAATTCCCTCTTTGCTTCATGAATGATTAGCCAAACTGTTTTAACCCCACTGACTGATTAATCAGAACAAAATGCTTATTAGCCAAACTTTGGTTAAGCTTCTCTCCTTCCTCCAGATCCCTAAAATACTCTCTGATCTATTTATCCAATCATGCCACGCTTTCATTCCTCTTCCCTGAACCCAGTTCTTTCTAGCCTTGTTGATTCCTGTCTATTAAGAAGAAGAAAAAAAAAAAAGCCCTTTTTGCCTAGCCCTTGAGATGTTTGCAGATCTTCTGGTCACAGCCTTCTCCCTGTTGCAATAGTACCCCCTCTTGCTATTTCAATAAATAGTCCCTTTTCTCTCCCACAATAATCCTTTTGAATAAAATCTCTCCTTACTAAGTCCAGGTTTGTTTTTTGTTTGACACAATACCAGCCAATGGATAAGAACATTCCTGAATCACAGATAAGAAAGCTAGAGAAACTTGGTATCTTTTATATTACCATCTAGTTAGATTCCCACATCATTAATTATGTCATCTACAACCTCTCATGTAGGTTTAAATCCTTTATTCTCCCGAAAAATTATCCCAGTTCCAACCCCCCAAAATACTCTCACCATACACCACAGATCTCTTGATACTACATAGGTTGCTGGGATGAGAAGTTTCAGTATAGGCCCACAAAAAGACCTCAAAAGTCACCTTGGTTGTTAAGCAAGATCTTGTAACTACATTGCTCTACAAATCTGCTTACTGATTAAGGATGTGAGATAATGTAAAATAATTTTTTAAAGTAAACTAATTTTTTTTAAAGAGAAGAGGAAAGAGTCTTTAGAAACTGTTTTGAAAGAATACCTGGCAGAAAAAAGGTACTTTAGTTTCCATTTTTCAGTTTAGTGGTAAATTCTGCCCTTGAGGACTCAATGGCCTTGATGAACAAGTACGAATGAGCAATAGCACAAAAGGACTTCCTGTCCAAAAGAAAAAAGAAAAAATCATGTGCCTGTTTAAGAGACTTAAGTAATTATATTTATCTACCTGAAGTTATTCCTGTAATGTAACACTCACAGCATAATACAGAATAGGTATGTGTGCAAAAGCTAGAAAAAACAGTTCGTATATTGTAATTCACAGAAGATCATCCAGTCCCTTAACTTTACCTTTTGTGGTATAAGAAATAGAGAAATCCAAATTCAAATAGCATAAAAAGCAGAAAAATCCAGTTAAATTGATTTATTCAAATAAACCCAGAGAAGCAGAACTACTAACATGGAAGCAATCACCAATGTTATTAAATGCTTACTGTGTATTAGACATTATGATAAACACTTTGACATAAATGATTTCATTTATTCCTCATAAATATCTTTTAAGGAATTATTATTACTCTTACTTTACAGATGAGGAAAATAAAGACTTGGATCAAGTTGCCCAAGATTACAGCCAACAAATAGTGGAGTCAGAATTTGAAGTTAGACAGCCTAACTCAAGTACCCATGGTCTTCAGAACCCTGTAACATTGCCTCTTAAAAAAGTGCTATTGCAAACAAAAGATGACTTAGCCTGTTTTAAACCAGAGACTTCCACATCACATACCAAGCAACTTTAGAAATTCCCCACATTCACATTTTTATACCCCTGAGTCACATTGGATGTGTTATTCATTACATTGCTAGTTATATTACACTGTTAGTTGTAATTATGTCTCATTTTCATACTGTGACGTTTAACTGCAAGTATTAATATTCTAATAGACACAGTACTTCAAAATCACTTATTTCTAAAATGTTATCCTAATTATTGAATGTGATATGTCCAACATTCCTGGAATTCAAAACACATTAAAATAAAATGAAACCATGTGACTAATATCCATCTCAGAAGACATTAGATGGTTATGCAGATTTCCCCAGCAACCCACTTTATGTAACCTCTTCTACCAATTCCTCTTCTACTTCTTCTCCTCTAACCAATTCAATCTTTACTTCTAAACTACTTGGTATGGCACTTACTGTCTTCACCATTGTTACTGTCTTTACTATTCAACTGGCATTAATCATTTGCCTTGTATTTTTATCACATATATATCTCTTATATCAACTATAATCTAAATTTCATGGGTGGACTGAAAGAAATGGATTGGTATCATTCTTTGAATTATTTCTCACAATACCAAACACAATGCTATATGTATATAGTAAATGAAAGAAAGAAAGAAGGGAGGGAGGAAGAGACGGAGGCCTGAAATAAGGAAGACATTTCCTCTGTATTGAGCTTTCTCAGAGTTTCTTAAGGTATCAAAGTACTTAATTTTTTTAAAGATTTTATTTATTTATTTTTGAGAGAGAGAGCACCACAGGTGGGAGTGAGGGGCAGAGGGAGAAGCAGACTCCCCGCCCGAGCAGGAAGCCTGATGCAGGACTCAATCCCAGGGCTCCGGGATCATGACCTTGAGTCGAAGGCAGACACTTAACCGACTGAGCCACCTAGGCGCCCCTCAAAGTACTTAATTTAGTAGAGTAAGCTTTATTTAAATAAACCTTGAAAGGAAGAACTGTTTCATAATTTACTGACCTATCAAAAAGTTGACAGGTTTTAATCTGCTGGATGAATCAGATATCACATACCATAACCTTCTCCAAGCTAACAGAAAAAATAGTACAGGAAGTCTCTTCCCCATAAATCTGACAAGAGAATTGCTTCTCAACTCTTTCAATCCTATGACACATATGTGAACTTGCAAGGACAAACCAAGACAAACAAACAGCTGAATCCCTCTTTTCCAATCATCTATCCATTCATCCCTCCATCCATAAAATTCATATGAATTTAATACATATGAATTCAACATTTATATATTGTATGCTTACTATGTACTAGGCTCTCCTCCAGTAAAAACAGGAAAAAATAAATCCTGCCCTCGTGGAGCTTACTTTCTAGTCAAAGAGAGACAATAAAATAGATAAGTAAAACATGTGGTGTGTTTTCTGTGATAAGCACTAAAGAAAAAAAAATGTAAACCAGGGGAGAATATGAAGTATGGTGTTGGGGAAAAGATGCAGGGAACAGATAGGGCAGCCAAGGGGACTTTACTGAGAGGGAGACTTTAAGTACAGCCCTGAATGAATATCTTAGGGGAAAGCATTTCAGCCAGAGAAAAGCAAGTACGAAGACTCAGAAGTAAGAAGGAGGTTCATTGTTCAAGGAACAGTGGGAAGGCCCACAAAGCTGAAGCAGAGAAAGCAAATGGAAAGGAGTAAAGGGGATCAAGGGGGATCAAGAGAGGGAGGCAGATATAGAAGGCCCCTAGATCATTGTAAGAACTTTGGTTTGTGCTCTGAGATGGGAAGCCACTGGAGTGTTTTGAACAGAGAGATGACATGATCTAAAGTCCTTTCTGAAAGAATCACTCTAGTTGCTACAAGGAGAAAAATCAAGTGAGTCTAGATTCCTAAAAGCCAAGTGAAAAAAAATACTTCAAAAGAAGAATGAGTCATGAACTGGGACAAATGCTGCCGTTAGGTCAAGTAAGATGAGTACTAAATGATTAGTTTTCCAACATGGAGGACACCAAAAACAGAAGCTATTTGGGTAGCATGGTAAGGAAATAATGTCCTTGGAGTGAGTTCAAGAGAGAATGGGGGAGAGAAATAGGAGACAAACAGAAGAGATGACTCTTTCAAGGAGTTATGCTATAAAGGGGAAGAGAAACGAGGTAGTAGCTGAGGGGTAAAGGGGTTATGAGGGTTTAGGATGGGGGGAAAATAAAGGCATGTTCATATGCTGATAAGAATAATCTAGTAGAGGAGAATTACTGAAACAATATTCTCAAGTAGGATAAAGGAGATGAGATTTAGGGCACAAGGGCAGGGTTTGTTCTTAGCCTAGAATATATTCATAGGAATAGACGTGGCAGAGTAATTGGCTTAATTACATGAAGAGTAGAGGTGGTTGTGGAGGCTTGTGGAAATTATCTGATTGCTTTAGTTTTCTTTTATGTATATATATAATATATATATTTTTTAATCTTAAGTAGGCTCTACACCCAACATGGGGCTTGAACTCATGACCCTGTGATCAACAGTCACATGCTCTACCAACTGAGACAGCAGGGGCCCCTGATTGCTTTAGTTTTCTTAGTGAAGGAACATAATCAACTGAGAATAAGGATGTGAGAAGAGATGCTAGATGTTTGAGGACAGACGTATTATAAAACAGTCCTCTAGGAGAATGGAAGAATTAATAGCCCAGGGATATTTGATATGGTTGCTGGACAGCATCAGGGCCCCTTGAGGAAGTGATCATGAATTTAAAGTGAAACCAGTAAGCATAGTTATGTTTTTTTTTCTCTAGCTATGTTCAATGTAGAAATGCTCGCACTGAGGCAGAGATCTAGATTTAATCTAGGATTACAATTTAGCCAAGAAAGTAAAATGAACTGAAAATGTGATAAAGGAACTGGGGGGAAATGCAAGGGTGTGGTTTTATTTATTGACCATGAAACAAACTGAATAGGTGGGTGGGAAATAAGTACAAGAGAGGGTGAGTGACATTTAAAAAAAAAAAGTGGATTGAAGATCATGGTGGGATCCAAGGATTATTTAGAGTCAGAGTGAGCCTGAAAGATAGGAATGTGATGTAATAAAACTTATGTGACTGTTGTCTGTACTCACCCTTCTTCTTGTGATGATGTGAGATAAAAGGCCTATGTAATGAGATGAAGTGAGGTGAATGATATAGGCATTGTGACATAGCATTACACTACCACTGACCTTCTGATGATAGGTCAGGAAGATCTCCTGCTGAACCAAGTTGACCATGGGTAATTGAAACCATGGAAATCTGAATAAGGGGGTACTAATGAGAATAAGGTGGGGGGACTACTGTATTAAGATAAAAGAGTTGCAGTTATTGGTAGTACAAGATTGAGAATATGAAAAAGGGAGCAAGTGACAGAGGAAAGATTAAATTACTATAGGAGGACAGGAACTGAGAGATCAGGGTACTAGAAGGATCATCCCTATGAATGCTAAAATCACAAGAATTATGACAGGAGTAGAGTTAGAGCAGCAGAAAGTCAGGAGCTGAAATTTGACTGAAACAACAGGAAATGGTAGTGGGTGGTATAATCTGATAACGTGAGATGCAAAACTGAGCATTTTGAGAAGGGGATGAAAAAATGTCTGGAAGCACCTATTAGAATCAAGAAGGGGTCATCGACTCCCCCCTCTTGTCCCAGTGGTACTAGGAGAGTGAGAGAGAAAACTGCCACCACCAGCCATACCTGTGTTCTGCCCACCACACTCCCAAATAAACACCGTTCTTCCTCATTTTCCTTTACATCTTGGCCGTCACTATCTGATTCATCAAAACTATCAAAAAGAAGTGAGGAAATTCAAAACCCTCTGATACATCACAAGTACTTTTTAAAGTATCATATTGATTCAGTCCCTATGTAGATCAAGCTATCATATTATTACTAAAGGGTTTTCCAATTCTTGGCAAAGTATAGGATTTTCAAAATTTTATAATTTAATAGATATATGTTACAGTTAGGGGAAGAAGACATACAGATGGCCAAAGGACACATGAAAAGATGCTCAACATCACTAATCATAAGGGAAATGCAAATCAAAACCACAATAAGATATCATCTCACACCTGTCAGAATGGCTAAATTCAAAAACACAAGAAACAAGTGTTCGCAAGGACATGGAGAAAAAGGAATCCTTGTGCACTGTTGCTGGGAATGCAAACTGGTGCAGCCCCTGGGGAAAACAGTATGGAGGTTCCTTAAAAAGTTAAAAATAAGGGGCGCCTGGGTGGCTCAGTCGGTTAAACGTCTGCCTTCAGCTCAGGTCATGATCATGATCCCAGGTCCTGGGATGGAGCCCCACATTGGGCTCCCTGCTCAGCGGGAAGGCTGCTTCTCCCTCCTCCACTCTGCCTACTTGTGTTCCCTCTCT